TGAGACTCACTGAAGATAAAGGGAGCAGCGTAGTAGAGACAGAAGACGAGAGCTCTGAGCATTGCAGGAGTGGGGGATGGAAATCTGTCTCTACTTTGTTACTAAGCTGTGGTGTGGCATGGGCCCAGCCTTGGACCCTGGGGACCCTTTTCTGTACCTGCGGCACGGGTATGAGAAACAGACAGAGGGGTTTTGGTTAATCACAAGGGCTTTTCTTATGGATTAAGTAATGAATGTGATTAACCATAATATAGGGAATTCCCAGTTACCCACTTGTACCTTCTCTGCAGCTAATTTTCAATTCTGTGTTGATTTCCTTCAATAACTCCCATCCCGATCCAGATGGTATCTATTTAGGAAGTTTAAGAAACTCTTAATATTAGCATAAGCAGAGCAAATTGGGAAATAGATGAGTGCAAAGAAATGATCTAATGCAATAGGAAACTGAATGTAAATGACTTCTGGATTTTTTTAGGCTTTGGACTCATTAAATCATCCAACAAATATTTGCTAAGTCCTCACTTGGGGGTTGGGGACACCAATATGAAATGAACTCAGGTACCCTTCAAGGCTTACGGTCTAGAATGATGAACTCATGCTGTGGCTCTGAGTGCCAATTCCAGTGACACTGAAAGAAGCCAAGGGAGAAAGTGTATCCTCTTCCTGGAGATATTGGTAACCCACAAGGGCTTAGAAGCATGATCCATGTGAATCCCTCAAACACATTGCACTGTAAGTCTTCAGTATAGGAGAGTGAGTCCACCAGGTGTGAATCTGGTGCTCATCTTCCTGAGGCAAACATCATGACTTTGGGTGCAAACATCATGAATTGTTGACCAACAATTAGGACAGAAGTTCTCTGTCTCCTTCCTTCAGTGGCCCCAGTGTGTATGTGGGGTGCGTGTGTGAGTGTGTGTATGTGTGTAGGGGCACCCTGTACACAGTAGGTGCTCCGTCGTCATATGTTTTATAATGGAATTCCTATGTTGGCATTATTGTCATTGTTGTCCCCACCCTCTTCCTCATTGTAAAAATGAGACAGGTTCAGAGGGCTTGCATAAATCCAAGCACACAGTCAGAGAAAGGCAGATCCAAGGCTCAGCTGTGCCTTTGACCCATGGGCTGGGCTCACTGATGTTGTGCTGCTGGTGTGGGAAGGGTCGTGGTTGGAAGCAAGGGGGCATGGGCTTCTCAGCTTGCCGAGAAGCAGCATGGTGTAGCGTCTGCAAAGTGCTGGAAATGGTGATGGTGAGAACCAGTCTGGTCTGCACTGACTCCTGAGCATTGCTTCTTGCTGTCTGTGGCCACTACAAAGTGCCTTATTCTCCCTGAAACTTGACTTCTTCACTGGCAAAGCTGATAATAACATCTTGTTTTAGTTCTGTAATGAAGATTGCAATGTATACAGTGCATTCTCAATTCGTAGAAGTTAATTTTATTCTGAGTTCAAATATTTTTCTGCAAGTACTACTATTATTTACATTTGAGCACATGAAACAGGGAAGAAACTTCTATATTGCATGGTGTGTTATAATAAGCAAGTGATTTTCAGGGTTTTCCACGTTTATTAGTTAGGGTTCACTAGAGGAACAGAATTGATAGAAAATACATGTGTACTCATGCAAGGGGATTTACAGGATCAGAGGCAGGAGAGCTCACAATGGCTGTCTGTGGAGAGCTGGAGGATCCAATAGCTGCTCAGCCTGGAAGACAGAGGCATAGAACAAGAGGAATCAAGGATGCATCATAGTCTGAGGTTGAAGGTCTGGAAGCTCTTTTGAGAGTCACTGGTGTGAGTCTGTGCTGGAAGGCTGAAGACACTGTAGTCTGACGTCTATTAAGGTGACAGCAGCAAAGGGCACACCTGCTCAAGCAGACGGAAGCTCCTCGAAACCTATCGATTTCTTCTTTCCCTTGAGACTACAAGCCTACTGGATACCACCACCCACAACCGGGGTGACTCTCCCCACTAAATTTGCTGGCTTATAGGCTGATCATCTCTGGAAACACCCCTGAGACATAACCTGGAAATGTGCTTTACTATTTTGCTAGGTGTTTCCTAACTCAGTCAAGTTGATAAATCACAATTAACGGTCACACCAGGAAATCTGACTTTGTATCAGAAAAGTAACTTCCCTATCTCTATAGCTGCCAGAATGGAGGTAACATATCTAAGTTAGCATTGTTTCTGAAGGTATCAAGGCAACTACCTCAAATGGGGTTGGAGGCTCAGAAGGTGCCTTAATTCTATAGTCCTCAGTTTGCTTCTTGCATGAAGGATATCTCCATGCTGGATAATTTTCTAATGATATTTGTGTCCTTCCTAATAGAGGAACTCAGCCATTTACTATTGTGTACTCGTTAGCAAGCATAATTCTTATCGTGTAGTAGGTGGGAATATCAATCACCTTTGCTGAGACAAAAGACTTGAGGTATATACCACAGTATTTTGACTCATGGTTTCAGAGGGCTCAGTCTATGGTTTATGCCTGAAAGGCAGAAACAGCATGGTGAATAGGCATGCAGAGGAAAACTGTTCAACCCATAACAACAGCAAGCAGAGGGGGGGGGGAGAGAGAGAGAGAGAGAGCAAGCAAGAGAGCGAGCACCAGGGAGATAGGAAGGGGCCAGAGACAAGAATATATCCTCCTCCCACCGAGTCCTACCTCCTAACAAAACATTCACCTATTAAGCAATCAATGAATGAATCCACTGTTGGGTATAGTGCCCCATGATCCAATCACCTTCCACAAACTCCACCTCTGACCACATGAGCTTTAGGGGGACAATTCAGATGAAACCATAACAGGCACATGATAATGAATATATGTGGTGGGAAAGAGACAAACTTAGCACAGCATACCTCAGAATCAGTTACTCACTGTCTCAGTCCCTTTTGTTTTCCTATCAAAGAGTACCTGAACCTGTGTAACATGTAAAGAAAGAGGCTTAATGGGTTCATGATTCTGGTGACTGGAGGGTGTGAATAGCACAGTGCCACTCTCGGGTGGTGGCACCTGGCTGCATTACGTCACAGTATGGAGGGGAAGCAAAAGAGAAGTGGAGATGAGCAACAGATGTCAGCAGACAGGACGGGACAGGCCCACTTTACAGCACCTGTTCTTGGGGTAATAGTCCCAAGTGTTCTGTTCACTCCCATGAGAAAAATGCAGATTGCTCTCCAGCAACTTCTAGAGACACCACTTCCCTCCATGTTTACACTGGTGGGGACAAACCTGATCCAAACCCAGCGCTCACTTTCTTATCCAAGAAATATGCAGGCAGTGAAACTCTGAAACTTCTGTCTCCCCTCCATGGGCCTGAGAGGACACTCAATGTGGCAGACAAGGTGCGGCTGTGAGGGGACGGGGGAGGCTTGATGTGGCCTTCTCAGGACATGAGCTTATGTTCCACAGGTATCTTCTCTGACCTTGAGGAATAAGGTACCCACGGGGTTTATTTAAAACTCTGGCATGTCTGAGAGCTGGGGGACAGGTAGAATATCTAAGTCAGTAGTGCAGCTCTTTAATGTATGTGGTGGAAAACATTTAAGAAATTATTGTTATAAAAACAATACAAGCTCGCTATAGGAATTTTAGAAAAAATTGATAATAAGAAGTACTTCTACCACCCAGATATGTTGGTGAATGTTTTTCTCTTTTAGTTTTTATATTTATATTATTTGTATAGCATTTATATTATTTGTATAGCATTTAGTTCATATTGTAGATAATGGTGAGAAACCTGCTGTAGTAAAAAAGTAAACTGTGACTGTCTCATGCTGCCACGTCTGCCTTGTGGCTTAATTTCAGAGACTGTCCACCCTTCAAGCCATGCCATGGGGTATGGCTCTGTCCTTGGGCAGCCCTGAGGAGAAAGTTTTCAATGTGGGGCCACTGAAAAAAAATGTTGTTGTAGCTAATCTGTATGTACATCTGTGATATTTATGTGTAATACTTCAGAGGAGAATATTGGACCCCCAAATTATGGTAAAACTTAAGTCTCATTTTCTACTCTTAGCAAAGAATTACGGTTTATGAAAACATTTGCCAGTTTGTCAGGTGAGAGATGATATTTGTTGTTTGGATCTGGATTTAAACCATTTTTAATGATGTTTATTTTCTTTAACCCTTTGTCATTTCTCTTTTGGAATTGCTCATTGATGTACTTGTCTTTTCCTTCTTGATTTGGTAGAACTTTTCCCGAGTTACTCAATTATTTCTGCAGAGTTAAAAGCCAAATACTCTAGGCTGAGTTCATCCTGCTTTGGTGGTAAACATCTGCCAGACTTGGGCTGAGGGTTGATCATCAGCAGCCTGTGCCATGTGTCCTCAGCATCATGGCATCAAGTGTGTGGACTTCTGCAAGAGTAACAGAGGGAGCCGCACAGGTCCTAGATGGCCTCAGGCAGTCTTTCACCAAACTTTTCTGAGGATTTGTGGCCCAAGCAGCTAAGAACCAGCCACACTTCCCTGGGGTCTCCTCTTCCAGAATACTCTGGGATTTGCTCTGTTGAGAGGCCCAAGACAGGATGCACTGTGCAATAGAATGTGAGTCTCATATGTGACTTCAGTTGACCTAGCTGTGCCAATAAAAAGAGCAAGAAACAGGTGAAATTAATGAAAAATTAACTTTTTTTGGCAGTATTAACTTTTTTATAGTTATTCAGTTCATTTCAGTTTGGGCTCACCAAGTGTCATGTGTTCAACAGCCACATGCGGGCCAAATAGGAAAGTGCAGGCTCCAAGCAGAAATTTGACTGGGGAAAACCCAAAAACTCCCATAGATTGTGATAAAAATAGAAACACCCAATGGACCTTATGCCAGTGATTCTGCTAAAGATCAGAAGGGCTGGGGGCCACTCTGTGAAACTTCTGACTGAAAATTCCCATGGGTGTGTCCACAGCTGAACCAAGGGCATATGCGTGTTCCTTGAGTGTTTCCGTAGAGTGGTGTTTATCAGGTTTGCCTCACAACGTGTGTGTGTATGTTTCTTTAAGGGCTGGCAGTGACTGCGCCCCAGTGCTGTTTGGAAGCAAGTCACAGCCCCTGGAGCGCACTGCCCAGGACAGCCTGCATGAGGCCCTTGCAAGACGGGACCGGCTTCTCCAGGAGAAGCAGCAGCTGCAGGTGAGAAGGAAACAGACATCACAGTTGGGGCTGGGGGTTCTCATCTACTGATGCCAAGTGTAGCAGAATGGGTCTGTGTTTTGCTAAAGGAGAGACAGTGGGAGTGGCTGGGTGGCTTGTGGGAATCTTGTCACAAAGGAGGGTGAGGCTTTCCTTATCTGCCATCCTTTGGCCTTAGATGCTTCCCTTGGAAGGCAGAAACAGCCTCGTGCCTTGGGAATGCTTTGCCAGGCGGTGCCTGGAGTCACAGGTCTGCACATGCAGGATGGGTTCATCTGGAGTGACCAGAAGGCTGAGTGGAAGCTATATGTGACCCAAGCAGTGCTGAAAGTTGGTCCAGAATCACCTGAGGTTGGAATCTGGATGTAGCACCAAGGTAAAGCTAGAAACCAGTCAGGAGCTCTGGAAGAGGACAGAGCAGCCCACAGTGGAGTGGGGTCGTGGTGGCTTGAGCTGACACTGATGGGGCACTAGGGAATACTTATGAGTGGCAGTAGCTTCAGGACTGAGTGGGATTCTTACTACCTGAGTCCAAAGCCTGGTGCAGGTTTTAAGCAGCTGATGAGCTCAGGCAAGCTCTGCCCCACACAAAGAAGTGTTCTCACCAGCTACTTTCCCACCCAAGTGGCTAGAGTGGTAAGCTGGCAAAGGGAATCAAGAATCTCCACAGTCTGGAAATGTCCCCCTACAAACTGAGCACTCAGCTCTGCCTCCAGCATCGTGGTGTGGTCATCAGGCAGTGTGGAATGTGGCTTTGAGTTTTTAACAGTATTCATCTCTGCTCCTGAGAGGGTCAGAGTACAAAAATTTCAGTGCTGGTACTCAGTGCTAGAAGTGCTCTGTGCTGGAGGTGCTGGTGCTTAATGCTAAAAGTATTCTATGATGTAGCTCGGTGCTGGCGACACTCTAGGGAAAGGTGCTTTGATTCTCGTCCATCCCATAGGTCTTCATATGGGTACAAATGTGCCAGATGCCATTTGAATGCTCAGGATCTCTATGCAGCATTTCCTGGAGTGGCAGTTGAGAGTCCCATGGCAAATATCCTAAGATCTCTAGTAAGAGATTTGGTGGGTTGGAGGTGGTAAGAGTGTCAGTGTGCAGGGCAAGGAAATGGGTGAAGAGTGGGACTGAGGAGAGGGCAGGCCCTGCACATGCCTCTGAGCATATTGGCAGGGGACAGCCATGTGAGGGACAGAGGTTGGCGTAGTGTTGTGGGTTCAAAAGCCAGAGAAGGCTGAGGCAATTTAGTGGTGCACAGGCAGAAAGGAAGGGGAGAGGGTCAGAGGTCAAGGGCCCAGGCTTTTCTCTGGCTATAATAGGGAGACAGTGAGGGTTTCAAGCACAAAATGACATTGTCTGACTACATTTTATCTTTTTCAGTACTAGCTATTGAAACCAGGACATTTGCAGTGAGCTGCATTCCCAGTCCTTAAAAAAAAATGTTTTTTTGAATGTTGAGACAGAGCCTCATTAAATTATTATGTTGCTCAGACTGGGTTTGAACTTGCAACCCATCTGCCTCAGGCTCCCAGAGTGCTGGGATTATGGGTATGTACCATCACACCTGGGTTGATCACACTTTCAAGAATGACTTTAACTATATGTTAAGAACAGGTTATAAGTTTATCCTTGTCACAGAGCTATTATGACAAAAACAGCATGCTACTGGCAGAAAAACAGACCTGAGGATCAGTGGAACAGATTAGAAGATACAGAAGCAACTCCAAATATAGTCAGCTATCTTATCTTTGACAACAGGGCCAAATACCTTCACTGGAAAAAAGTCAGCCTCTTTAATAAATGGTGCTGGAAAAATTGGCTTTCCCCATGCTGAAGACTAAAACTAGACCTATGTCTGTCACTATGCACTAAACTAAAATAAAAATGGATCAAAGTTCTAAGTATTAAAACAGAAATACTAAATATGCTGGAAGAGAGAATAAGCAGAACTCTTGAAGACATAGGTGTAGGCAGAGGTTTTATGAATAAAACACCAACGGCATGGGAAATGTTACCAAAAATGAAAAAGTGGCATCTTGTCATATTAAAATGTTTATGCACAGTAAGAGAAATCACCAACAAAGTGAAATGACAACCCACAGAATGGGAAAAAGTAGTTTACTCCTCAAAGGTGTAATATCTGGATCATATAAAGAATTTAAAAAAATCAGATGCTACCAAATTTAAAGACCCATTTTAAAAATGGAAGTCTGATATGAACACACACCTCTCAAATGAAGAAGTACAAATGGCAAACAAATATATGAAAAAATGTTCAGCATCATGGATCATTCGAGAGATGCAAATTAAAACAACACTAAGATTCCGTCTCATTCCAGAAAGAATGGTTATCATCAAGAAATCATCCAATAACAAATGCTGGAGGGGCTGTAGGGAAAAAGAAACTCTTTTCCACTCTCAGTGAGAGTGTAAACTGGTGCAACCATGGTGGAAGTCAGTGTGAAGATTCCTCAAAATACTAAAGCTAGAGATTCCATTTGACCCAGCCATTCCCCTTCTTGGTATGTTCTTGAAAGATTAAAAGCATCATATAGCAGCAATATATGCACACTCATGTTTATAGGAGCTCAGTTTATAATAGCAAAAAATGCCCATCTATCAATGAAGAGATAAAGAAGGTGTGTTTTTTATACAATGAAGTACTACTCACCCATTAAGAAGGCGAAGGTTGAGACATTTCTAGATAAATGGATGCACCTAGAGATCATACTCTTAAGTGAAATACATCGGACACACATGTGCAAATATCACATTGTCCCCCTGTGTGAGAAACCAAAAGTGTAAATAAGGGCCACAATGCATAACAGACATTGTGAAATAGGAAGAAATTGTTCAAAAATAAGGGGAACAGGGGAGGAGAAGGGAAGGAAGGAAGGGAAAAGAAAAAAAATGAGAAAAAAAGATAAATTAGAAACAAATCTTCTGTAATGAGGGGAAGAGGGGTTGAAGGGAGGGTAGGGGAATGGGAAGAAAAGAGGAATCAAGATATGTCATGCACAGGTACAAGTTCCCTATGATGAATATGATCATTACATATACCTAAATTGTACATTACATATACCTAAACTAATAAACTTAATTTTTAAAAAAGGAGTAGGTTTTAGAAAAGGAGTAGGTTTTAGAATTTGCAGCTTCTTCAATAAATTAAAAGTAGGCTCAGCTGGGCATGGTGGTGAACATCTGTAATCCCAGCACTAAAGAGACGGAGGCAGGAAGATTGCTGTGAGTTTATGGTCATCCTGGGCTACATAGCAAGTCCCTCACTCAAAATAAATTAACAAACAACAACAAATCAAAAACGTAAAAAAAAAAACAAAAAAAAAAAACAAAAAGGAGACTCACCATGTGACCCAGCAATCCACTTCGGGGACAGATGTCAAAACCTGACATGTGGACATGAAGAAGTATCTGCACCTTCATGGCCACAGCAGCATTGCTCATGGTGATCAAAAGGTGGTACTGACCCAAGTGGCCGTCAATGGACGGAGAACTAAACTGGTGGGAGGCTGCAGTCAGAGCAACAGTATTCAGCCTTTGAAAGGAGGGTCATTCTGATGTGGATTGCAGGGCAGATGACCCTTGGGGACATTATGCAAAATAAGTCTTTCATAAATACTGTGTTTCCACTTCTATGAGATCCCAAGCGTCTTGGGTTCCCAGAGACACAGAGTAGAGCAGTGGGCTCAGGGCAGGGAAGGGGAGGTGTCTGACAGGTGCAGGGGCCCAGTGGGGAAGCTGATGAGAGTTCTGTGGATGGATAGTGGTGATGGCAGCACAAGTGAGACTAAACACCACTGACCTCCTCATTTACGAATGGTTACAATGGCACAGTTTATGTCATGTGCATTTTACTGCAGTCTAGAAAAATAGTGAAAGAATAAAAAAAGGTAGGAGGTAGCAAGAAAGGGAAGAAGGGAAGAGAAGGGAGAAAGAAGGAAACAGAAGAAAGGAAGGAAGGGAAGAAGGAAAGAGGAGGTTAGGGTCTAAAGGTGGGGAGTAGGAGCTTGGTGGAGGGACTGTGTGAGCTGTGCTGTGACTATGGCCCTATGGAAGACCCAGGGATCATTTCCTTTGGGATATCTCAGCAGTAGATCTTCAGTGTCTCCTCTTTCGGGGTGAGGAGAGCGTGCATGTATGTGTGAGATGCAGGATCAGGCTGATAAGGGCTGTGGGCTGTGGGCTCTCATCAACCAGGAACAGTGAAGGAATACAGGGGCAAGTTCCTTAAGAGAGTCTGGTTTTTAATTTCAAGTCCTCTGGGCATTGAGGTGATTATCTGCCCAAGTGCTGTGCACACTCTGGTTTCCAGTTACCTGCTGTTTGCTTTATTCATTGACCTCAAGACTGGATGACAGGTGTGGGTAATTCAGATTTCAGTTTACTATGTTAGTAGCAATTAAATTCATTTAATATTTTTATGAACTTTGAACATCAGGATACTGTGTAGCATCTCTCTGTTCTCTCCATCCTGTAGATCTGAGAAGCCAGGATTTCAGTTTTTCTCTGCACTCTAAATTCGTGCTTGGAGACAGACCAGCTGTGTCTCATCTTGGTCTGTGGTATGAATCTCAGTACCTGATATGTGCTGCCTGTGTATTGTGGGTTGTCTGTAGTATTATTTACCAGTCCAATCTTTGGCTGACACCCTCCAAGTCATTTAATGCTTGAAAAAGAATATTTTTTCTTCTGCCAACTCATCAGAATTAGAAAACTCGCATGAGTTTTCCAGTTCAGCAAACTCCCAGAAACCTGCCTGCCTTGCAGGGAGCCATGCAGCCTAGTGCAGATAGCCCCTCTCCTAACAGTCGTGATCAGCAAGGCAGGATGTTGGGGAGGGTTTGTTCATCAAATCTCTTCCCATTCTCTGCAGAAAGAAGTGGAAGCTCTTCAAGAAAAGATGTCTGTGCTGGAGGCAAAAGATCAGCAACTGAGAAGGGAGATAGAGGAGCAGGAGAGAGAACTCCAGTGGCAGGGATGTGGCCTGGGGACACTGGTGATCCAGCTACCGCAGGACCAGCTGCAGGAGATCAGTGAAGCCCTGAGGGACACTTTGACCTCTGCAAGCCAGATTTCCTTCCACATGGAGCCACCAGAAACCATCCAGAGGTACTGATGATTTCCTGATTGTGGTGTCTCTCCGTTCTGACCTGTTGTTGGAATGATCATTTGCTGTCCCTCAAACATCTTCCATGCAGTCTGTTTTTCAGTGGAATTACTGTTGGTGTTTTGATGGGAATGCTCTTTACTGTGTGGGGCAGTCCAGAGCATGAGAGGTTATTTTTCATCCTGCTCACCAACCTGCCCTATGCCAGCTCTCTTTTGCATTCCTATAGGCAGCTTCTCCGTTTCCTCTGAAGTCCCTCAGTTTGGGCTCTGATACCAGCTTCTACAGAGGATGATCACCTAGAGAGCGGGAAACTAGCTGACCTGTGCCTCATTGAGAGAGGGTTTCTGTCGGGAAGAATGGACTGGGAAGGGCAGGGAACATTTTTTGAGGGCTTCCTTTGTGTCAGGTACTGTGCTCAGCTTTACTTCATGAGTTGTACCCATCTGTTATCATGGCCATTTGACAGATAAGGAAGAAAAATTTGAGTTAATAATTTCCCCAAAGTCTCCATCACTAGAAGTGAAAATGGGTATTTCAACTGCTGTCCATTAAATCTGGAGCCCAGCTTCCCATCTATTCTATACAGAATAGGGTTTTGTGCTCAGTGGTGTTGGGGAGGATCCCTACACTTGGCTGTCTCTTGCCCTGCAGGACCTTGTGTTCTTCTTTGGAGAGGGACAGGCAGAAGACACATATGCTAGACAGGAAGTGAATAGTACCTCTGTGGATTGCAGACGGGTAGTGAGGATGGTGGATGCCATTGGTGCCACCCAAGTGGAGGGTCCAGTATTATGTTTGGCCCTTCTCTAGTATTATGTTTGGCCCTTGTGCCAAGGAGCTTCCTGAAGCTCTCATCCTGTGCTGATCTGGAATGATCCTCACTCAGTCACTACTTGGCTGACTTGGGAGGAATGTTGCTAATACCCGGCTTAAGAGTGTCCGCAAGATGAGGAGTTAATAGCTGCTCTCACTGCAGGGCTTCGATACACTGTGCACTTTGTCCTGCTTTCTGCAGGCTGTTTTTATCATGGACTTCATACCTTTGAAGGCTCCCTGTCTATAGTGCCTGTCCAAGTGTCACGGGGCGTTGAGAGAGTGACCCTCCTTTTCTACACGTGACTCTAGCAGCAGGTCACACAGGCCGCTCCAGGGAGTCAATCAGGATCCTCCCATTCCTTTTCTGTCCCTCATATTTCCCCATTCAGAGCTGATCCCTGGCTCTGGCTATGGAGAAGGGGAAGAGATTTGGATTGTGCCTGGATTTCAGACCATCAGTGCAGCTGATCTGGTCTCAGCGGGGGGCCTTCACACCATACTCACGGTGTGGCCAGCTGTGGGATGCAGGCTGCTCTTTTTGTTTTCACTGACTAGGAGAAGATAAAAGCTCAGGAAGTTCCCTGCTGGTGCAGCAATAAGGGAACATCACGTGTACATTGGTGAAGACTCAGGTTAGCACCAGTAAATGATTCCTGCTGGAGGGCCAAGGAAGGTGCTTCCCCTCCAAATGCTCTTTCATAGGCAGAAACAAGGAAGTCCATACGGTGGTACACTGGTAAACCTGGGCCCAGAGCTCATATCATCACATTTCTAGTTGGTGCTTCCACTCATGCACGGTAGCATGCATTTTATTTTTTATTTGCTTTTTAAGAGTAGGAAGAATTTATTGAGAGAAAGAAAGCTTCTTTCTAAGAGAGATAGAAAGGGGCCCAGAAAGTTGGTTGTCCACAGATCCCACTTCTCAAAGGTGTTTTATTGAGCAGAGTCATGAGATGAGGCAGGTTCAAGGTGGGACAAAACTATTGTCAACTAATAAGATTGCAAATATAGTCATTCAGGTAATATTGATCCATGTGAGATGGGACAAAATTATGATGAACCAATAAAATTACAACAAATATAGTTGCTTGGGTAATATTGATTAAATGGGGATCAGATTGGGAAGCAAGTCATGTGGCAATAGCTTGCATTTTAATCACTGTAGCATGGTGCAGTACTGTCTGGGTGTTCTCCAAGGAGACCATCAGCACTAGGTGTGAGGGTAGTCTGAGTATGGTACAGTGCTGACGCAGGTTGAGGGGCCCATTACTCCAAATGCAGATGTTCCCACGGAGGTCACAATAGTCAGCCAGGAATCTGCTATCTCCTACTGTGCTAGTGTGACCAGAAGAAACCTGGTGCCCATAGAAACAACCTCATCGTGGTCCAGAAAAATCTGCATTGGTAATCCCAGAGGGAAGTTATTGGAATTCCAGTGAGTTAATTCCAATCTACCACTTCCAGCATAATCCATGGTGAGAATAAAGACACTAAGGCATGTTTGTAGTGTGGGGAGCCAAGGGTGTCCTAAATCCAGCTAGGATGAGGGCTAACTGGAGCAAAGGCCTTGATCTAGGTTGGAACCTGGATTTTATTAGTTCATGAAGTAGCTTGGGGATGACTGACAATGAGAATGGCAGGAAGCACATGGGTGCTGTGAGCTGGGCGAAGAAGGAGGCCTGAAATCACCTCTGCAATATGTAGAGAGAGACATGCAGAAAGGGTGATCTGCATATCACAGATTGGGACAGTATATAGTCTTTTTGGGTCGGTGCTTCAGTTTTTTTTTTTTTATTTTAAAGAGATTAAGACAGAAGAGGACATAACAAAGCAGATCAGATCAGAACAATGCAAGTAACACAGCATTTAACACAAGACCACCCATAATTAACAGTAACCACCATAATGTCTCTTTCTTTGAAATAGTTGAGCATAGCTTCCTTTACAATAGTATCGAGCATAACAAAACAGTATAAAACCATTCAAGAGAATGAAAGCATTACAGGACTTTTAGAACCAAATAGCAGAGAATGAACAATGGCTACTATATTATCTCATTTTCCATAGAAAATTTGTTTATACTATCACACATAATAATATCCAATAAGATATAATAGGATAGAAACAAAGGCAAAAGAAAAACAAAAGCATAGTAGGATTTCAGAGTAAGATGATACTAAATTAGCTCTGGCTATTCTAATGTCTTCTTTTCTTTAAAATAGCTGTTTATACTATCACAGATAATAAAATCAAACAAACTAGGATAAAACCATTCCAACTAATGAATGCAGACATTATAAGGCTTCAGAGGAATGTAATGGGGAATTAGGATTACTATAAACTTTTATGTATACTTACCATTTCTTATATTAGGGAGACTATACGGTATTTATACATGTTGGTTTGATTTATTTTGCTTATGAGTAAGGTCTCAAGTTGTGCCATTTATTTATAAATATCTCCATGTGATCATTATTTATAGCTGAGTAGTACTCCATTGTATAAAAATACTGCAGCTTTTTTATCCATTCCTCAGCTGATGGACACTTAGGTTGTTTCCAAGATCTGGCTATTACAAATTGTGCTGCTATAAACATGGGTGCACATATATCACTGTGGTATGATGCTTTCAGTTCTTCTGGGAATATGCCTAGAAGTGGAATAGCTGGAACAAATGGAACAAATGGAACTTCCAATCCCAGCTTTTATCTCCAGACTGACCTCCACAATGGCTGCACCACCACTCTCACCAACAGTGCAGGAGAGTTCCCTTTTCCTCACAGCCTCTCCAGCATTTGTTGTTGGTAGTTTTCTTGATCCTGGTCATTCTTTCAGGAGTGAGATGGAATCTCAGTGTGGTTTTAATTTGCATTTCTCTAATGACCAATGATGATGAGCATTTTTTCATGTATTTACTTGCCATTTGCATTTCTTCATCTGAGAATTGCATATTCATCTCAGATGCCCATTTTTGGATTGGATCTTTGAATTTCGGAGGTCTGAGTTTCTTTAATTCTTTATATGTTTTAGACAAGAGGCCCTTGTCTGAGAGAGAGTTCACTAAAATCTTTTCCCAGTTTGTGGGTTTTCTTTTCACTATGCTGGAGATTTCTTTTGACATGCAGAAACTTTTTAATAAGAAGTGGTCCCAGTTATTGATTCTGGGAAGTATTTCCCGTGCAGTTTGAGTCCTGTTCATGAATTCTTTACCTACTCCTATGTCTCCAAGGTTTCTACCTATTTTGTCTTCCAATAGATTTAGTGTTTCTGTTTTAATATTCAGATCTTTGACCCATTTAGATTTTAGTTTAGTACATGGTGATAGACATGGGTCTAGCTTTAGTTTTCGGCAAATGGAGAGCCAGTTTTTCCAGCACCATTTATTAAAGAGACTGTCGTTCTTCCAGTGAACCTGCTTGGCTCCTTTATCAAAAATAAGGTGGTTGAGTGTGTTCGTAGTTGTGGTTGTATCTTCTAATCTATTCCACTGATCTTCAGCTCTGTTTTGATTCCAATACCATGTTGATTTTACTACTGTTGCTTTGTAGTATAACTTCAAGTCAGGGATTGTGATGCCTCCTGCCTTGCCTTTGCTACTTAGAACTGTCTTTGCTATTCTAGGTCTCTCCTGTTTCCAGATGAATTTTAGGATTGATTTGTCTAGATCTATGAGGTATGTTGATGGTATTTTCATTAGGAGTGCATTGAATCTGCATAACAGTTTTGGGAGAATGGCCATTTTTATCGTATTTATTCTTCCTATCCATGAGCAAGGGATGTCTTTCCATTTTCTGAGATCCTCTTCAATTTCTTTTTTTAGGATATTATAATTTTCCCTGTATGGATCTTTTACTTCTTTTGTGAGATTAATTCCTAAGAATTTCTTTTTTTGGATGTTAGTGTGAAGAGTGTGGCTTCTTTTATTTCTCTCTCAGTGATTTTGTTGTTAGTGTATAGAAATGCTATTGATTTTTGAGTGTTGATTTTGTATCTATCTACATTGCTGAATTTATTTATTATATCTAGGAGTCTTTCAATTCAATGGAATTTAGGGAGTCTTCTATGTAGAGTATCATGTCATCCTCAAATAATGATAATTTAACTTCCTCTTTTCCTATCTTTACCCCTTTTATTTCTCTCTCTTGTCTTATTGCTCTGGCTAGTACTTCCGGTACTATGTTAA